CTGAAAAGAAGTGACAAAGGGGAACATAAAATACAGTATCAGTAGGGACGGCTTTGACTGGACTTGTTCAGATTGTAGAAAATTTGTGTGGTGCATGTTCATCAACTTACTCTAGTTCCTATGGAGTATGTTAAAATTTCCCACTGCAGGGCCCCTAAAAATAACAGGGAAGTTGGCAGCTAATTTGATCAGTGGCTTGAGTAAATGTTTATCCCCTTGAACTGAAACTGTTTGTTTGGAGCTTTGTCTCTAAATGAACTTCTTTGAACTTCTTTGAAACATGAAATGAACTTATTACTAACACAAGAGATAGCAAAAAAATAGAGTACGCAAAACAATATTTTTTTGAAAACGCAAATAAGCCAACAAGATGGTTATCATATAGACTCAGGAAGGAAAAAGAGAAACGTACTATAGTAGCTCTAAGACGTGAAAAGGGAAACTTAAAATATAGTATACAACAACTAAAAGAAATTGTTGAAAAATACTACACACGCTTATATAAACAGGAGAACCAAAATAGGGAACAAATAAGGGAATATGTACAAGAAAGAAATCATAAGGAATTTGAGAAAGAACATAGAGAGTTATTGAATGAAAAAATAGCAATGTGTGAAGTAGTGGAGGCAATCAAAAAACAGAAGAAGAAAAAAGCCCCAGGGCCAGACGGAATTCCAGCAGAATTGTATCAGATTTTTGAAGAACAGATCAGTCTACCATTTAAAGAATTACTCCAAAAAATAGGAATAATAGGGAAACCGCCAAACTCATGGTATCAAGCTGTAATAACTTTAATACATAAAACAGACACAGATCCTACAGATATTAAAAACTATAGACCAATATCACTCTTGAATGTGGATTATAAAATATTTGCAAATATTCTGGCAACGAGATTTTAAAAAGTACTAGCCCAGGTAATTCATCAAACAGGCTTCCTACCAAAAAGGCAGATAAAAAGTAACATGAGGACAATTATGAATGTTATAGAATATTACGAACAACATCCAGAAAAACAAATGGCCTTGATGTTTGTGGACGCAGAAAAGGCTTTTGACAACTTATCTTGGGAATTTGTACTCCAAAAACTAAATAGCTGGAGGTGTGGACCACATTTTCCGACAATGATTCGGGCAATATATAATAGACAATATGCTAATGTAATTATAAATGAAGGTACGTTGTCGCAAATCGAGATACAGAAAGGAACGTGTCAGGGTTGCCCACTTTCACCCTTATTGTTTATATTTGCACTGGAAACATTAAATAATGAGGTAAGAGAAGATAAAAAAATATTTGGTCTTAAAATAAAAGGGGAAGAATTTAAATTGTCAGCATTTGCGGATGATGTCGTATTTATAATGGAAAATCCGATCGTATCAAGTCAATATCTATTAAACATCATACAGGAATTTGGAGAAAAAGCAGGACTAAAAATTAACCTGAAAAAAAACAACCTAAAATAATAACAAAAATTGTACGGCCAAGGCAATTCAAGAATTATATAAGATAACGAACATAGAGGTAGTGAAAAAAGTTAAATATCTAGGAATAATATTATCTAATAGAAATAGTACAATTCTCGAAGATAATTACTATAAGCTACTAGAGGGAATTACGGTTCAAGTAATATTTTCATTTGGACAAATGGCATCTATCCCTGGGGATATAATTAAAAAAAAAAAGACTTGGGTACTGAAAGCTGGACCATGAAGAAGCAGCATACAAATATTCAAAATAAATGTAAATACTCTTTGGTACTTGTAGCCCTCTCCTGTCTTTAACCACCACCACCTTCAGTCTGTGTCCAGTTTGTAGTTGATTATCCTTCCAATGCAGATAAGTTTTATCACTGCTAAATTTTGTGCTGATAAATCTATTCTAGTCCACTTTCATGACAGCCTGTTTCCTCTGCTGCCCGCCTGTCACTGTCCTCCTCTGTAGCCACTGTGCTCCCTTTGGTTCTTGTTGCTGCCTTTCAATCTTGTACTGGGCCAGCTTAGACAGTCCAGTGCTGCTGTTTCTAGCTGTAAAGGTACAGTGCGGCATTGTCAGCTGTGTGCAAACACTCTCTAAGAATGCATATGTATCTGCAGCAGTTTTTACCCAGGTATTTACAGTCAGCACTAGGGGGTACACACACTAGGGGGTACACACCAAAAAAAGTCTGTATTTTTTTGGGCTTTGGGTATATCAGACCAAAAAAATATTGGTAAGTGCCACATTTCCCCAGTCCAATACCAGTGAAGTATCAGGGCTGGGGAAATATTCAGTATTGTCGAATATATTTGGGTCTGATATACCCAACCGGGGGGAAGGGAGGCATGTTAAAATACCTTTGTTTCCACCCAAGGCCCCTGTAGCTTTCCTGGTCAATTTCACTCCCTGCCAGTCAGCTGTTGGGTTTAAGCCATTTAAACCTAAAAGCCTACAGGCTGTGTGCGTGAAACTGACCAGGGAAAGCCTCCTCTCTCTGCCTTCCCTTCCCTTCTCTAGCTGCCTTGCTTTGTTACTCAATGTAGTTTTTTTTTTTAATTAATGTACTTTTATCTTTGACATGCCAATAAGGGTTTTCTGTCTGTTGCCTCTCCTTCGCTTCCCCAGCAAAGGGTAGGCATGGAAACATGCCTGGGCTCCTTGCCTGCCCTTCTCCAGCTGGCAGGCAGAGACAGGGCAGGCATGTTTAAAAGCTTTCCTTTCCGTCCCCAAAGTCAGGGAGGGAAAGAAAGACATTTAAACATGGTTGCACTCTTTGCCTGTGCTTCTCCAGCAGCAGAGAGAGGAGGCTTTCCCTGGTCAGTTTCACTCCCACCTAACATGGGACTGGTGGGGAGTGAAATTGACTAGGGAAGCCACAGGGGGAGGGAAATTGGCATTTGGCTACCTGAAAGCCAAAAAAGCCAAATAAATTTGGGAAACTATTTGGTTGCCAAAAAGTTTCCTGAATTTGCATTCAGTTTAGGAATACTGAATAAGGCATTTATTCAGTATTTTTTTCAGTTCAGGAAGCCCAATGCACACCCCTAGTCAGCACCAAGCTACCCTGACTGTCTTGTGCCACCGTTATGATAAATACCCACAGCATGGTAGATTGCAGCTTGAAGGAGGGTGATCGAAGAGCTTGAATGAATAGAGCTAAGGATGGATTAGTGGTCCCGTAAAATTACTTGCCCAGAATAACGCTAACAGTTGTGTTATCCACTTATACATTTTACCCAGCCCTTCCCCCAAGGATCTCTGATTGGAATGATTTTCCCAGTATTTTGTCATCAGGAGAACCATGTGGTGCAAATTACACAGATAACGCCCAAGTCACCTAGTGAGCTGCATGGTATAATGAGGGTTAACTGAAGTCTCCCAGGTCCTCATATGACACACTAACCACACAAGCTGCTTTCACATGGAGAGAATTATCTGTGTACCTCTTGCTGCTGCAGTGGAATGTCCACACTGCAGTTTTCCATTCTCTTGTCTTGTTTACTACCCTACCTGCGGTTGCCATCCCTCCCAGCTGACAGCTTTTGAAGAAAAATTAGAAATTGCTAGATTGATATAGCGCAATAACATTATAACAGTCTATTGCCACAATCCACTCGTTTCCAGCCTTCTTTTTTTAAAAATGTGTCTTTAACTCCTTTCATTGTGAAGTTATAGGAGGAAATGCACATTATGAAAAGGGTAGAGATTTTTTTTAAAGAAATGAAAGGTGGTATCTAGTATATTGTGGCATTAGATTATTTTAATATTATAGTGATCTAACAATTCCTAGCAAAAAAAGTGTGCTAAAAGACCTCAAGTGTATTTGTGGGATGAAGAAGTTGCAACTGTGGGTTGGAATTTATAAAAATGCACACCTTCCTGTCCACATGGTGTCCGAATTTCAGCCTTTCCAAAAGCATGGTACCAGACCAGGAAAAACAGAAGCAGGATAAATAGAGGATGGCATCCTGTTGATGCTTCTGAAAACAGTACAGTGGTAAGGAAGCCAAGGTGGAACAAAATAGCCACAGAAACATTTCTAATACAACAAACATTTTTGTACCTCTTGAAGGTTTATTTTTTATGTTCTGCCAACAAAGCTGATCCAGTAAAATATCTGAGTAATTCTTAATCTTAATTGAGGAAAAAGTCCTATAAATCCTATTTAATAATGTGATGATGACGCATTGGACAAGGGTAAGGGCTGTTTCTGGAGAGAATACTGCCTCTCCAGCAAGATGCCCCTTGTTTACAGCTGTTGACTCCTTACGGCACATTATAATCTATGTATGCTAAAGTGCCATCAAGTCACAAAAGACTTATGGTAACCCAAGCATGGGGCTTTTAAGGCAAGTGAGAAGCTGAGGTGGTTTGCCATTGCCTTCCACTGCAGTCTTCTTTGGCAGACTATCATCCTAGTACTGACCCTGCTTAGCTTCCAAGATCTGAAGAGATTGGCCTGTACCATGCTGCCTTTCCTGCTCCACATTATATTCTAGATGCTGGGAATTTAATACTGCTAGCAGGAGTTGGGGTAGACGGATCTTAATGTACCCTTTCAGAGCGTACCCAAGACAAGCTACACTGCTTTGGTTATCGATTAAAAAAGAATCATGCATTTGGAATTAAATATAAATAGCCATCTTTTCCTAGAGCATTTTGTTAAAAAGCAAGACGCAACAAGCCATCGACATTTATGTGTGAACCATTCATATGTCAAGAAAAGGGTTTAATGGATAGTAAAAAGGTAAAGGTTCCCTTGCTCGAAAGCCAGTCGAATCCGACTCTAGGTACTATCATTCATAAATAATTATACTTTAGAACTGATCGAAATCCACTTTCTGTCATTTAGATTGATTGTGTGCTTTAACAGTCATTTGGTATTGGCAAAACAAGTTATTAACTAAGTAGATCACAGTTTGAAAAAAAATTGAAATCTGATGGGGAAAAATGAAGTCTGGATTTCCAGACATGATAGTTTCAGATTGATGTTCTAACTTTTTATAACCTTGATAAAGCATTAACATCTATGGCTGTTACTTCATAGAAAAAATATTCTATGCAAAACTTATGTTTCCAGTCCTTGATTTTATTTAATTTTTTCCATTTTACCAATGTCTGATACTTCATTTGGGAAATCATATTGTAATCCTAAACAGGTAAGCATGAGTGTTAATCTTGGCTGACCATATAATCAGGAACCCAGAAATTGGTTTCCCATGGTCTGCCTCTACTGAGCTTGTACAGCTGCAAAGATGCGCTTTCCTTTGTCTGTAAGCTGAAAATGGAGGAGGGAGTTGATTCTTACTTTTAGCTTCAGAAGTCCAGAGCCATTCTCCCCAAAGCTGGCGGAGGCCCACAAGTGGCTCACTCCACCAGCTTAGATCTAGAGGAGAAGGTGGAAAAGCTTATGAATAACATCAGAAACGATATCTCAGGTCTCAAGGTTATGCACCATCACATTTTGATGATGACCAAGACCAGCCAAAATTTGTGGATACGTATATAGCTGCCTGAGTTTTCCATGGAGCACAGATGTCAAGTTTTGATGCTATCCTTTTGAAATATTATATTGTCCAGTTGAGCATGTTACATATTTTAGAATTAGCCATGAGAATTATTCGTTATCTACATTAATTCCATTTTAGTTTTCCAAATGCAACCAAGATGAATTCAACATTGCAGCAGTATATGAGCAAACCAAAATGCTGGTGGCAACTATCTCCCCTTCCTCAACAAATGTTGATGCCGACTGTGTTAGAAGTACCCTGGCAGTAGTAACATTTCTGTGTAAAATGATTCCAAGAGTGGTAGCTGTGTTAGTCTGTTGTAGCAAAAACAAAACAAAATATTAACCTTTAAGGCAGCAAAAGATTCCAGTTTTGTGAGGCTTCAGAAAAATTCTTTGCATAAATAGAATTGGGCTTAGGCTTTTTTGCCACCCTTTATAGATATAAACCGTATAGGTATTTAATCTGTGATCTACTTTACTAAAAAGGCAACTTTTGTGTTGTGGCTGAATATTTTCATTGTGTCAATAGCTCTGTTCTGAATACACAAAAAAACCTTCCATCTGTGGCAAAGAAAATTTTTTCCCCTTTGGATCGTAACAGGAGCTGTTTAGGGCTGGCGAGCTGAAATGGGGAACTGATGAAGAAAAGTTCATCACCATCCTGGGAACGCGAAGTATTTCTCATTTAAGGAAGGGTCAGTAGAACTGGAAATTCTGGACTACTTTTCTATCATGGATGTGACTGGCTACGGCAACCTTGAAAAAAACCTCTGGCCTTGTTGGTTTACTGCCCTGTGATAGGCCAGCTATGCTGCTCCTTGTCTTCAGTTTCTTACAACCATTTCATACATTACCCAGTATAAACACAGATGTTGCCACTGAGTGTAGACTCAACAGATTCACAGTCTGTTCCAGCCCTTTGCTGCATGTCTCTGCTAAGCATGCTTTCAAAGCCTTTTTTGTCACATTCACATGCCACTTTAAAAAAGCTGAAGGTGTACATTAAAACAGTGTAATGTTTGATAAGGTCTGTCACCTTTGTGGAACTTAACCACTCTGGTGGGGTTGGGGGATTGCCAATTTGAACTCTGTCTCACCTCAGCAGTAGATATCGAGATGCAGCTTGCAATTTAACTTTGTGCTTTATTGTGCTTGTTTGGAGAAGCTGAAAAGAATTAACCTGTAAATTGCATGTAATCAGCAAAGACACCTGTTTGTTTTTCAGTCTTTGATAAATACATGACCATTGCTGGCTTTCAAATTGAAGAAACTATTGACCGTGAAACTGATGGGGAGCTAGAGAAGCTGCTTCTGGCAGTCGGTAATGAACACTCTTCCTACCTATGCACTATTTATAAGAACTGCAAGTGAGGGTTTGGGAAAAAAACCCCTCAGTATGATGCGTCCATTAAATGAAAAATAACACTATCTTTGGTAACCTGATTAACAGCCTTAGTGGAGGAGATACTTAAAAAAACACACCTGGTGATCTTGCTCCTAGCCAACACAAGGTGATTAGGTCAGCGTCTATGTTTGGCCCTGTGACTTGTAACTAAATACAATTACGCCTTTGGGTCGGGGAACCCAGGGAGCAGGTATTGAAGGAAATGTCCATTTCTGTAAACTCTGAAAATGATAGAAAATTGCTCTTTCTCGCTTGTTCTGGTACAGGAAGGATGAAACAGCTTGCAGTCTTTTATAGCAATATTTCACTATGCTTTGCTTCATAAATGCAAATAGATTTTTTTATTTCCCCCAGTGAAGTGTGTCCGAAGTGTTCCTGCGTATTTTGCTGAATCGCTGTTTTATGCAATGAAAGTGAGTGACTTTCTTTTTTAAAAAAATGAGGGAAATATTTGTTATCAACATTTTGTTTCCTAAGTCTGTATCTAGTGCTCTTCCAAATTAACCTTTTGGTTTGTTTTCTTCTATTTAAACATTTAAACAGCTCATTCCTTTGCCTGTTTAGTTAGAAGCACATCCAATGAACCAAGTTTATGTAGGACTGCTGCTTTAGTTTTCTACTGGAAATATCAGGAAAAGAGTGTGTGTGTGACAGATATTGACACAGAATTCCAGTCCCTATTTTACGTGTGCAAGTATAGAACCTGGAAGTGATTGTTGTTGATAATTCTGAAATTAAAAGGATGTGATGATGTCATCAGCAGTGATAACATCTGGAAGTATCCCAGCAAGAGGGCCAGCCCCAGATATGTTGATGTCTGGTTCAATGTCTTCTGCTTAATTTGTACCAGTTCCTCCTTTCTTCCAATTCTTGATGGACATGTGTCGCTTCTACCAATTCATCTCCTTGGAGAGACTGTCCTCCTCCATTTGCCTTCAGTCGATCAGCTTTGATGCAGATATTTTCATCTGAATGATGAAAATGCTGTCCTTGAATAGAGCCTGCCAGGGTTCCAGTCAAACATTTTGCCTGCCATGGAAGATTAATACAGATGTTTATGGAAGATTAATGCAGATGTTTATGGACTGGCAGCTCTGTGTGAGAAATTTTTGTTTTCAGCACATGCATGCAATTTCCCCACCATTAGAAAAACTTTACCCACTTGCCAACAAGATAGTAATTAAGGAGGTGCTGCTAAAACCCCATTGAAATCTGTGGGAATTGAAACGGCATAGCGCAAGGTGGAGCATACACTTAGTGGATGACTTCAAAGGAGACACCTTTTTTTTTCCAGGGAGCAGGTACTGACGATGATACCGTGATCAGAATCATAGTTACAAGAAGTGAGATTGATCTGCTGGACATCAGGAAGGCTTTCAGAAGAGATTTTGCAAAATCTTTGTACCATGCAATTCAGGTTAGTCTACTTTTTATAAATAAAATTGATTTCCTTTTCTAGCAGCTAATACTGCCAGTCTATGTAGCCACTGTTTTCTCTGGTTTTTTTGGCCATAAAATTAAAATCATACGGTCATCTATTCCAACCCCCTGCACAATGCAGGACATTCACATATAACCCCCCCCCAGGCACTCCCAGTGACCGCTGTTCCACGCCCAGAATATGACAAAAAATCTCCAGGATCTCCAGCCAAACTGGCCTGGAGAAAAATTGTTTCCTGACCCCAAAGTGGCAGTCAGCATTTTCCTGGGTCTGTAAGAAAGGGCCACAAAACCATTTGCAAATATAAAGAAAGTACATCATAGCATTTGTATTGGTATGTCCCCAGCTGTAACACTTAATTATGGTTCAGATCCCTTTGCTATACTTGGAATTATATCGTCTTACATATGGGTACTCTGGTTTAACTGATTTGTGGGCTGGGCATCTCCTTTGGAATGGTCACTTGCTAAAGGATACCATTTTGTCATGTTTGAAGTATGTAGTGGAAGACAGTGCTGTGCAGTGTCCCCTCTAAGCTGAGTTAGTGTGAGCTAGCTCACAGGTTTTTAGTCTCCGGTGCACACATTTTTGTCTTAGCTCAAGAAGAATGGCTCTACAGCAAACTAATTAATGCGGTAGCCAAATCACTCACTCACAACTTTAAAGCCAGTAGCTCACAAAGTAGAATTTTTGCTCACAAGACTCCATAGTTTAGAGGGAGCATTGCTGTGATATGGAGTATGTTTCTATTTCCTTTGCATTTTGGTATGTGTGTTGTAGACAATGGATCACTTGCCACCAGAGACCTTTTATGAACCATTTCTGAATGGATAGTCATACCAATGGATTTCCTGTGGTGAAAAACTTGTCATCTGGCAAGAATTTTCCTTGGGGTTTACTGATGACTCATTGCCATTTGATTGTGTGTTTTATTTGTAGAAAGACACATCTGGGGACTACAGGAATGGCCTTTTACTGCTCTGTGGTGGCGAAGACGACTAAGGCCTACAGAAGGACAGCATGTTAGCACCAGCCTTTTGGCTCTTTCCCTTTTGTACAGCTAAGCTATATATTTGCATTTTCAGCTGTAGCCGCCTTTGCATTCCAATTGCCATCCTTATTGTTAAATTCAATGTTTGTGGTGTTAGTAAAGTGATTCACCACCTCATGCTAAAATCAGTACTGGATGCTGCCCCCCCCCAGGACCGCCATTTTCACCCAGAGTATTGCCTCCCCCCCAGTTGGTGTCATTTGCAGAAGTCTAATTTTTACATTCTGTTAAGAAGCTAGCCAGCTGGAAGTTCATATGAAAAGTGCCTAATGTACCCTCTATTTTTTTATATAACATGAAGAAGCCATAAACATGTTTTTTTCTGTTAGCAGAAGTAAAACACAACCCATTAACCAAAACCAAACATTTAGTAACTTGAGCTGTAGTTTCCCTCTTTATTTATAGACAGTTTACTAGAAGAAAGCTTCTGCTGATGGCCTTACAGTTGTGAACGATGCATGACCTGTCTCAATGTTATTTTTTTTGGGGTGCTATTAAAAGAACTAACTAAACCAGTAACTGAGTTGTCATTTAAAATGTAAAGGACCAATCAAGTGCAAAGAAATAATGAGCATTATAATGATCTGTAATTTATTATGCAGTTCTTCAATATGTTTCATATCCAACCGATAGAAATCTTATTAATCACCCTGTAATAATTTTATTGAACATATAACTTCTGTATTGCACTCAAAGGGTAGAAATTGAATTTAATTAAAAAGAACCCCAGAGTTGTTTAGGACGTGTACTTTCACAGAATTGTATCTAATATCCAGTTTGAGTTATAAAGTCCACCATAGGGTTGCTTTATTAGTCGCTAGAAATCAGACTGCTTGCAATATGATACTTTTCTGGCATGGAATGTGCTTTAGGGTTGCCAAGTCCATCTTCCACCCCCAGTGGGGGACTTTGGGGGCGTTCCTGGAGGGGGCGGGGCATCCCCGACATGATGACGTCACGTTGGGGACGTCCGGTGCCCCCCCACCCGCCCGCGCGCCGGATCTCCAGAAAAGGCAGTTCTCTGCACTTAAAAGAGCCGGTATTTCCCTTTTAAGTGCAGGAGCCGGCGTTTCCCATTTAAGAGCGGCTGCGTTTCCCTTTTAAGTGCACGAAGCTGGCATTTCCCTGCAAGCCTGATCTCAAGTGGAGATTGGGCTTGGGAGGAAACACGGGTTCCACACACTTAAAGGGAGAGAGAGGAGTGGGTGTTGGGGGTGGGGGCGGGGCTTCCCCCGCCGGCCAGATGGTAGAACCCCCCCAAAACGGGGGACCCCTGGCAAACCAGGGGGAGGTTTGGCAACCCTAATGTGCTTTTGAGATACAGGTGCATATTTGATTAACACTCATCTTGGGCATTGAATCATTCAGAGGAGCACGTTGATTCCTTGATATCTGACCTCGCACTATAATTTCCCCAGGTGTAGACTAAATATGGTAGCAACCATATCTACAAGCATGTTGGGTGCTGTTGCATATACTCGTGTCAAAGAGAATGCTTTGAAAGGGTCACAGATGGGAATTTTACCTTTCTAAATTATTCTTAAACTTGAAAAAATGGAACATATTTCAGAAAGCTCAGGTGGTGTTTAGTCATTTCAAGTACCTTTCTAATGTGGGGAAATCTAACTGGCAGTTCTTTGGTCAGTCAAAGTCACTGCCACTCAGTCAAACAATACATTCCAGCCATTGGGTAAACTTTTCAGCTGTGGAATTGGTATCCATTCTATGGTTGAGTTAAAGAATGTGCAGCAATATTAAAATTTCCTTTGTATGTTTTGGTTTTCCAAATTAAAAAAATCCTTTTACAAGTCATTTTAAGGCTACTGTGGGTTATTTCCAGTTTGTATTTATTGGAATGGCTGCTTAGTCCAGTTTTGAGCAGCTGTATAGAAACCATCATCTGATTGCTTGGATGTGAACATCTGTTTGCAGGAGTTGTTTGTGCTCCATCTCACATACACAGAACTCATTTACAAGGTTGATTGAGAATGAAATTTAATGGCACTGAATTAGATCTAGCTATTACATAGCACAGCAGTAGGTAAAATGATGGAAGGATCTAGAACAAATTTAGCTGCACAGAATTTTTTAAGCCTTTCACCTACAATGGGCATCATCAGGAACTTGCATGGTTAAATTTATATTCATGGTAAACATGTGCCTGGTCCTTGCAGAAAGGGGAGAAAAGCAGTTTGGGGTAGGGACAGCGTCTGGAATCCTGCATTAACTTAAAAAAAACAACGATTTGCTTTGATTTCTAGGCTTATTGTTTTACTGGCTTCCGTTTTAACAAAATATCCAGACCCCTTGCCAACAGCAAAGCTTCCCTCAGGTGCTTGTATATTTTGTCTATCTGTATCCTAGACAACCACTGGAGAACAGTCAGTCGACATGAAAAAGTGTTGGTAGGAAGAGACATTTCTCCTTTCTTGAAATGTCAGTGAAAAAAATGCTGATGATGTTTCCTGGGAGAAGTTTGCTGAAGTGCATGATGTCATTCCACCCTTGCCTAACCTTGACAGGCTTTTCACAAGCACCCTCTTGTACTGTTTCTCTGAATGATGCATGTCTAAGATTGGCAACTCTGGCTTTGGAATCTACTGGAGGTTTGGAGATATTCCCTGGGAGGGTGAAGTTTGGGGAGGATGCTCAGCAGGGTTGTGATGCCATAGATGGCATAGTGTCTACCCACTAAAACTGCTGTTTGCTTTAGGGGAATTGATCTGTAATTCCAGGAGAACTCCAGACCACACCTGGTGGCTGGCGACCCTATGCATGCACTGCTGAATTACTCTTGGATGGTAGCTCAGTTTCATTTTGAAAATTTCCAGGAATGGATGGCATTTGGAACTTGAATAAAATGGAGCTCTGCCTGGTATTCTATATTTCCAGGCTAATTTCCCAGTGTAATATGTATTTTGGTATTTTTCTTTAATAGCTGCTCCTCTGAAACATATTTTTGTCTTGAAAATGGTTTTGCTTGTAGACCATACATGCAGGAAGAGAGTGTGCTTAAAATTCCTCGTTTACACACTTGTCCAAAAATGTGCTTTGTGATGAGATGCACAGTGGAGGTGGCAGTATCTGAGCTAAGAACAATAATTGTGGCTAACAGACTTAAAATACTGCAAAGTCGTTGACTAAGAACTTTACCCTCATTCAAATGTTCAAGGAAATTAAAAAGTGGTAGGAAAGCCCTCAAAAGACTTCCCATACAGCTTTGCATGTTGGATCTCATTTGCCCTTGCTTCCAAACAAATATGACTTGCATTTGATTCTGGTGCCATCTAGCTGCTGCTGACATCATTACTGTTCCGCTGATAACTATGTCCATAAAATCTTGTGAATAGCAGCAATATCTGTGGGATTTATTTTTGCCATATACTGCCAAACTTTTAATGTCACAATACTTGGTGAGCAAGAACACTACTATGCTTTTAAAGCTGTCTTTCTTTTGAAACAGCAAGAATGAAGCAGAATAGTTGATAAGGTCATACAATAAAATCTTAGAGCCATACTAGATATTTTGCCATCTGTTCAACTCTTAAAGGTACAGGAACATCATAATTATTTATAAGGGGCTATCTAGTTATATCTGATTTTTTTTACTATTTTTTATGGCAAACACACAAAACCAAAACAGTTATACAAACATTCAATGGGAGAATCTATCCATCTCTTTGAATTATCTGTTAGTTTATCCATACCTCTCTCAGTAAAAAGTATATTTCTACACCTTATATTGTCAAGTAAAGCTTTTGCACATTTTTATTATAAATGTTGTCCTCTATTACAGTTGTGTACACACTTCATTTAATATATTCTTCAATCCATCTGTAAAATCTTGACCATGTATTTTCAAAGTTTTCCTCTTTATATCCAAGCCCAATGTTTTTTCCTTTTATCACAAGTCCACCACATATGAAAAAAAGAACCAACATTCTTTTGACATTTCCAACAATCATTTGACATATTAGGATAAAATTTTGCTAATTTATCTAGTGTAATATACCATCTATAAAACATTTTATAAATGTTTTCTTTATAAGAGGTTGCTTTAGTAATTTTCATATTTGTTTTCCATACTTTGGACCATTAATGTAAATCAATATTATATTCCAGATTTTGTGCCCATTTAACCATAGAACATTTAGCCACTTCGTCTTGGGTTTTAATTTCTAACATTATAATATACAATTTCTTAATAAGCTTATCAGTATAAATCAATGTTTTGTCTATTTGAGTTGACTTTCCAAAAAAGCCCATTTGTTTATCTTTGATATATCTTGATTCTAATTGTGTTCTTTCGCATCAGCTCAAGTCTGTATCTTGTTTTTTGAGATTCTCTATTGTCTTTAATTGGTTTTTATTATCCAACAAGTCTTCATATCTCCACAATGTTTTTTTTAATAGATTGGGATTTGTAAAAGCTTCGAGTGGTGAGACCCATTTTGGTATCTTGGTATAGAAAAGTTTTTTAGTTTCTTCCCATACTTTCAATAGTGATCTTCTAAAAATGTGCTGTTTGAAATATGTTTGTGTATTGGCCCTGCTATATCACGCAAATGCATGCCAGCCCAATAATGTCATGTCCTTCTAACTTTAATATCCTTGTATTTTCCAAGGTAATCCATTCTCTCACCCAAGTCAATGAAGCTGCTTTATAATATAAGAGCCAATCTGGTATAGAAGATCCAGCTCTTTTGCATCTTGTAAAGCTTTCAGCTTTATTCTTGGTTTCTTGTTTTGCCATATGAATTGTATCATCAGTTTATTAAGTTCTTTGAAATATTGTTAGTTTTGAAAAATTGGAATTGTTTGGAATAAAACATCAGGCTTTGATAAAATACTCATTTTTATAGTGGCTATTCTTCCCATTAAAGATATTTGCAAGTCTTTCCATTTCACCAGATTTTTCTTAAAGTCCAATAGACGTTTCATGTACTTATCCTTTAATAAGGAACTGTATCTATTTGTCAAATTTATTCCTAAGTAGTTATGTCTGATTTCTTAAGGAGTTCTTGAGGAGTTCCCTTTCTGGAATTGCACAGAAGCAATTTAAAGATACAAGAAGCAAGTTGACTAAATTCAAGATGACTTAAGATATGCGGAAGGAGAAGGTGGTCATGGAAAGGAGGACTGAACACGTACCTCTCTGAATAATGCAGAAGCTTAACTTCTAAAGTTGGCCACCAACTGTCACCAGAACTGAGCCTTTTCAGCCTCCTACAGATAGGACCTCTGTATCACACTCACCATCTACTTTCTCACATTGCTGCATATACCCATCTACATTGCTAAACAAAAGGGAATGTATATCTGTATACCCATGCTGTAGTGAAGCTGGAGATCCTGTTAGACGACCCACACATGGTTTTCATGTGGTTTTTTTAGTATGTCCAGGGAATCTCTCTACTGGTCTTCCTTGCTGAGTCAAGATGATAATGTGTGTACAGTACTCTTACTGAATATATACTGAATGTCCTAGGCTTGCATCAGCAAACACATACTGACAGATTCTAACAAAATATATCTGCAGTATTGACTGATGCATTCAAATGTCTCCAATACAACATTTTGCTGCTTTGCTAGCAAACATTTGAGAACAAATAGGACTGCCTAGGAAAGATCAAAATATTCTTCAACTTTGTCCAAAGACTATGTGTTTCAAAAGCATATAATTTTCTCCTCTCAAAATCAGTTCTCATTTGAATTCTCAAAAGCCTGGTCTAATGAGGGCTATTCTCTACCACATTTCAATGTTCTTCAGCTGTTCCAGTGCTTGGGCTGACTTTTGTCTTGTTTACAAGAACAGATTACAGTGAGTGTTTTTCTTTGAGGAATCATTTGTTCTCAAAAGAAAAGACTTCATCCATTTTGACTGACTTTCAAAATAAAATAATGCAGTATATTTTTGAATGAATG